CGCCCCACCGGTCCGCAGTGATGAGGACTGTATATACCGGTGCAGGGCAGAGCCCATGCTCCTCAACATGCGAGGAATTTATGAAGAGTTGATTTTGCGCTTGTCGGAATTCCTTACGACACAACGTCGGGAACACTAGGGAGGAGAGACACTTCCTTCTTCTGCCCGCAAGATTAGTTTTGAACCGTTGTTGAACCCTCGAAGACGGCCAAATAATCAAAAGACAAGGCCTGGCAAAGATCTGGCGAGGTTTTTCTTAACAACCTCATTTGGCAGAACTAAAAAGGCAAAGTATGAGACGTTTTTCATTGGTGAATGATCACAACGCACCATTCTTTGCCGTTATGTTCTCCTTTGATGCTCTGTGAACGATTTCTTCCTCAAAATGGACTGTCTTTGTGAGGTCGCCATAATTATGCTCAGCCATTATCACACTTCAAAGAAGAGCAGATGAGTGTTTACTTGTTCAGAATTAGAGTTTTTGTCAACATCAAAGATAAAAGTAAAGTATAAAAAGATAAAAGATAAAATAAATAGGATGAACAGATAAAGGACTGGAAGAGTGAAACAGAAAAGCAAGCAGAAGTTGTTGAGGAAATGAGCTCTTTGAGTTCAGCGAGGTAACAGAAGAGAGGGACGGTGGTTCGCCTAATTATAGAAATTTTCCACATACTCCTTCGCGTTACTACTCCACGTCAGTTACTCCTTCAGCTTTAATGAAGCAGTTATTAGAATGAGAGAAAAAAGACTCGACTTCAGATAGAAACAGCTGACGTGGCCAATTTTTGCGTGTTGAATTGAAAATTTTTAATGAAACTGCGGTAATAAGTAAAACCAGTAAAACGGAATAACTAACCGGCTCCGTAGTGATCTGTGATGGCCATTATGTAATATTTCCTCCCGCGATTACACGACAGGACGAAGTTTTTTAAACTTATTTTGTCAACATTAAAGTTAATGACGTAAAATATGTGTCTGAGCACGATTCCTTGGTGATAAGTCCACGCATAAGGATCATTATTTGTGTAATATTTCTTTTAATCCAGTAGCTGAAAGCTCTGAGCCCTCCCAATTGATCGATCTCCCCCGAGATGTCCACGTCTTTCTACTTCATTCAGGTGACACTTGAATGCAATTTGTTCGAGGTACTAAATTGGGAAGGGGTAGGAGCAACCAAGATTCACTTAAGTGTTTTTTTGAGACGAGTTTAGTAGCGATTAAAGGCAAAGCCCGCGATCATTCGCGTCACATATAGTGGACTAGGGGTTTGCATACAGACGACAAGGTGCTGAGTAACTCGATAGTGGAGAAGAAAGCAGAAAAACATGCCCAACGGCCCTAGATACAACCTCATTTCAGTCCCAGTTGCCCGATTAATCCCAGTTGGGCGATTAGGTGCGTGCCCAAAGGCAGTTGGCACGATGATTTGGTGCTCGGCCTAAAATGCTAGTAGGGCGCTATATAGTGGGGAAATGGCGAAAGAACGGAGTGAAACGGTCAAAATCCTGCGAAAAGAGCCTCCGTTCTCACTGTGTTAGTAATCAATTTTGGACGAGTTTCCCGAGGCATCTTACCAATAACCGCTACCGAAGGTACGGCTGCATATGTGTACTCATATATCCATGCAGCATCACGGCCGCTTCATACCAATCCCTTCGCTTCATAATTTGCTTAGCAAATGAATCAATTAGAGCGTCTGGAACAGTCGTCCATTTGTGGGCGGGCGGGCAAGGGGGCGTTTGGGACGTAAAGTTGTGGCTTGATAGCGCCCTTATAAGGGCACCTTCCCTGGAAAAGGCATTATGCAGCGCCTGCTCAGGGTCGCGGAATTCCGTCCTGCCAGGCGTATTAGTCCTGCTCGTCTTGGAGGATTTATCGTGCCAACTGCCTTTAACTCCATCTTCAACACGGCGCCCTCATCCGCACAGCTGATTCCCCGTTATGAACTCTACGACCGTACAAGTGACGACTTTCATGCTTTTTCGTCCTGCAGCTTCGTTTTTCCACTGAAAGGAGGGCCTTGGAGGCGGAGTCTGGAGGCGGAGTCACTGGAATTAAGGAGGCGTCACTGAACCTATTTTGCGTTATAGCGCCCCTCCCTTACACTTTTTTGCCGCGAAACCGGTAGAGGATTGTTCGTCCACAGAGTGATTTTTCTTCTTTCAAGTTTGAGCAGTAGGGGAGGCAGACGACCGGAATCCGCGCCAGGCATCGTCCCGATGCAAAGTGGATTTGTTCACACCACCCCTTGACCGCTTCGACTACAATGGCGACTTCTTGGCGTTTACTAGTTTTTGATTACACTATGCTTAGTTGAAATAAACTTGAACAAATCGTTTTCACGTTCTGCTCATATTGTCGTCTTCACACCATGTTGTGATCAATTTCAAACACTTTTATTATCACAAATAACAATACGCGAAGAGTATCAATTATGTATACTGAGAAGTAACGTTGTTTCTTACAGGCACTCTATTTGTGAAATTTTACATTAAGCACGACAGCATGTACCAGCACCACACGAGTTGTAGCCAGTTGAGCAGCCGCAGCCAGAAACTGATTGTAGCACACGGCGTCTGAAGAACCGATAAAATAACTGGAAGTTCATTGTGCCAATACTCTACAACTTGTAGGTGCTGTAAGTACCTACTAGTTAATATGTGGCTTTTGGAATTTCGAGGTAAACTCAAAGTGTACTGTGTTGTGGTATACTAGTAGACGCATCACACTTCGTTCTTCGAGACAACCCTCAAATCGGCAGTAAGACTGCTCCGGACTGCCCCATTCAGAGCCCCTTTCACTCTTCCAGCACGATTTTAGAGGATACCTCACTGCATAATCCAAAATAGATGGATAATGTAATATCTAGAGCATTAAGGACAGTCTTCGGGCTTGGAGCAGTTTCTTTGACGTCTATCTTTGTATAATTAGTCTTGCGCCTAGTCCCTAAGAAGTAGCGAAGGCGCCTGCCCTCCTATGTGGCGGTTCTTACGCCCTTATAGTTGCCACGCCACTCAGTGGCTATTTTCTGCCACAAGTTAAATTTTCACCGCGCGTTTGCCTTTCATTACTGTTAGATGATTAGCAATTGATGATGCAAAGGAACGATTGCTGGATCTGAGGCGGTTGAAAATCATTTTACTGGCCCAAAACGAGCAGGTCAGGACAACTCGTACAGTGAGGCTGCCACAGGGATCCTTGCGGGGTTCTCCGTGACTTTCTGCTTTTTTTTCTTCCAGTAACTCAGTGGCAATAGTTTTGTAATTAATCGCCATCGTCAATAGAGGGATTTGTCTTCAAAGGATTGACGGCTCCTCTACGTTACTGCTATGAGTTCTCTATGGGGTGGTTGGGCGCACGCGGCTCACGAGCAGGGTGGTGGATGTGGTCTCGCCGGCGTGAATCGCCTCAAAGTTGTACTCACATGAAACATTCAGGCGCTAAGAAATTTGGAGGAGAGCATTTCGCTTCTGTAACCATTCCCCTGTCCAAGACTTAGGTCCAGAGCACAAGTGCTAAACGTCGCCGGTTTTGCAGAGAGGACAGTCTCCAATCAGCCCAAGCCTTGTATAGGACAATGGACGGAGGCGTAATTGGAAGCTCTTGCCAATCTCACCCCTCCTTCCCCCAGATACGCTAACGCACACAATTATGAGCTAACAACGACTCACAACGATCTGTTGTACTGCGTCGCATGTTTGGGCACAGACGTCCTGACATCGTTGCTGGCAAGGCATTGACCATGGCATCGATTGACAGTTATTCATGCAGTAATTTTGACAAGTCTGCTGACACACTGACATTGGCAGTGAAGTAGGCCTAAAAATCCTCTTCCCAGACAAGATTTTCCACGAAAAGTTTACACATTGTGAAATTTTACCATGTTGATACAAGGATTCTGAGTGCAAGTGTTGCATGAAGAACGACATTGAGCGTTGCAGGAATTCAAGCATGACGATGTCGTGCAGACGCCACCGCATTGATTTTGGCATGAACTTTGACAGTTGTTAAATTGAACTTGAGTACATTGAGCGCCACATGCAGTTTGGCACGAGTTCAAGCACATTCTTGATGCTCCACAGAAATTGCCACATTCTTGTACGCACTGTTTTTGGCACGGTGATAGGGCGAACTGAGGCCAGTATGGCGTAGAGAACTGAGGCACAGATGGCATGGTGAACGTTGGTGCAGGCTGTACTGGTGGCATGAACGGTACTGGCTGTGGTACTGCCTGAAATTTGTCCATTTTCGCATAGAGTATCTTGAGATTCCAGCTTTTATGACCTACATAGCTCCCTCCGCAGACATGAGCACACGACTGTTGGCAGTTGCAAGTGCCGTAGGTTTTGCAACCTGCTTGACAGGTCTGTAGGCAGGCGCCGCACGATGATGCCTGAAGTACATTCTGAGTATAGGTTTCAAACATTTATGCTCTTGAGGTTGTTACTGTGCAGAGGGAAATCGCTTTCTTGTTCAAAAATATTCCATTTCTCGGTATCGGAAGGGGTGTGTCTACGAACTTAGTTGTGAAGAACAGCTGTAAGCAGTTGCTGGGCCCTTGATGAGAGAGAAATAGACGTTTTCTCGGGTCTTTCCGCTCGGATGTAGTCCAGTACATCGGAGGTGCAGGGAAGGCGGCTAAAGAGAGCGGAGTGGTGCAAACTGAATCGCGTGCGCGGCATTCGCACCAAGGCTCGATCTCGTGTCGACCATGCAGCGCGCCAGGTCAACTATCTAGAAAACCCCACAAGTTTGTGTATGGCGATGGCCGCTCTCTTGGGTTCGTGAAACTGCAACCACATACGCACTCTCTACACTCATGCTGTCAACGGTCTATGATGAAACCGGCACAACTCTATTCCTGTCGTCACATTTGAGTCCCGTAGGCGGCTCGCCTTCATAACAGCCAGGGATATTTTGTACTGTTAGGAACTGACCGTTACTGTTTGCACCGCTTGAGCCTGTTGCACTGCTTGAGTCTGAGCTCCACATGGAATAGCGCAGGCCTGCTGACAATTACAATTTCCGAATCTACAGCCAGACTGACATGTTTGCATGCATGAGGTACAAGCATTGACCTTAACAAAATGGTTCGCATATTGAAGCACTAGAACGAGAGTCGACGATATTTCAGTAAGGTGGGACCGAGGACCCCCTGTGCAAAATTGGGAGTACTGTAATGGGAAAATACCTCATAGCACGGGATATTTTCGAATAGTTTTGAATACCCTTCAAAGAACTTACATAAGATCCTCCGCAGACGTGAGCGCAGGATTGCTGGCAGTTGCAGCTGTATGACTTGCAGCTTGCTTGACACGACTGCATGCAAGAGCTGCACGAACTCTGAGAAACCTAAGAGGTAGTTTCAAGTGAAATTGCGCTCGGCGGTCTCGTTTGGAACATCGGTCCTGTTAAAGGCACATCTCACGAATAACAGAGGTCGAATTTTCTCGGTGAGTAATAGCCTAGGTCTATAACCAGCTCACCGCCCTTGAAAGTGCGCAGGAAGAAGGCTACAGGCTTTGCATTAGGTCTGCAAGAGCCAGCATACTCCTCACGTGCATTCGGAACTGTGAGCTCTCTCGACATCCGTTCGTCTGGACTCTCACCCGCAAGCATAGTCTCTCTCCCTCGCACAC